AAACCATAGCCTTAAAATCAAATTCTAAATTAATCAGCAGTACATATCTTGGTCACTGATTAGTAATAGTAAAAATAGTAAGGAAAATGCTGAACTCTTTTGTTACTGAAGTAGCAATGTGTGGCAGATGCAGGCTCACTAACTACATGATGAATTACAGCATTTTGGATATAGTTGATATGAAATCCATTTACAAAATAATAAAATGTTGTGGATTGCATTTAAATTTGTGCATTTGTTTTAAAAATCCAGTTCTGTTCTCTGTAGTATTGCTGTAGTGGTAATAATATCCTTTAATTTAGTTTAATTTTTAGGTAACTGTAGAGATAAGACTAAATCCTGTTCTGAGTAGCACTAATTGTACTTTATGGTGCTAAAGTACAATTAAAAATGCTATCAAAAATTATCACAAAAGACCTTTAGTGTGCAAACATTTTTTTATAATGTTGTTTTAAAACATTCAAGTTAACCACTAGCTGTTTTGAATTTACAGGTGATACTGGACATTGCCAACAAATTACTATATTAATTACCTGAAAAAAGATAATTTTAAATAAAATTCTGATTATTTTTTTTTTTAATGTTGACTGTTCCTAGGAAGAAATGGACTCGTGGCAAAGGATTTGCAGCATAAATTCTTTGGTTGAAGTATAGGTGTGCCATAATAATGCTAGGTATAAAAGCAAATGTGTAGGGAGAAAGGAACTCTCATGTGTTCTTCCAGTTCAATTTGAAAGAAAGTGAAATATACTTCTAGATTTCAGTGTTGTTGTAACTGTGCTATCGCAAAATAAGTGTAATGGCATATTCTTGGAATTTGGCAGTTTGCTTCTAAACAAATTATTTCATATTGGCAGAGATTACCAGTGACAGAAGTTTAAAAGACCAACTTACTAGACCTTGCCTGACACTTCTCTGAATTTGAGGGCTACTTCGTGTGAAGAAACCAACTGGCATTACTTCTGCAGGACAGGCCTCCCATGAGTCAGTAGCTCCTTTGGAAGGATAACTCCCCAGTGTTGACACTGGCCTGGAATGACCATTTCTGAGTGCAGGCAATCCATAAATAACTGACATTGCAATGGGAGGATAATTTTTTGTGACTTTTTTTTAGGCATTAGTTCAGGTTATGGGTTTTTCAGTGGAGAAAGTGCAATAATACTAATATGTTATATATTAAAAACAGCTCAAGTAAAAAAAGTGTTCATGTGTACAGTGTGTATTTAAACTGATTTTTAATTTTAAAAAACACAGTGAAGGAAAAGTAGGTGCCATGGTATTCATGGTGAAGTCTTGATTCTCCACACAAATAGTGAATTTGTCTACTTCATAAGCAATGGTAAGACAGTAATTTATTTTCAAAAGCCTATACAGTATAAAAATATTGATTTTGAGGTTTCAATAAACCTGTACACATAACTAGGGCAAAAACAAAGGTTTGGGGCTAACTTAAAATACTCTCCATATAGTAAAATGTTAGTGAAAATCAAACAACTGAATAGATTAAAGTGAACACTGATTTTTAATTAAAAAAAAAATCAAACTTATGTTGCAGGATATTTTACAAATTCAGTGTTGAAACTAGGGAAATGAGTATGGGTTTACTATGCTGCTACAGTATAAAATGATGAGGAAAATAATCCTCAAGGCATTATTTGCAAAGTAAAGTGTGATGTGGGATTAGGAATAGCACTGCAAATAGCAGTATCAGATTCAGGCAAGGACAATCACAGGAAAAGGAATAAAAAGCAACTGAGACTGAACGGGATGCATGAGAGATTTTTTTTTTTTTTTCTTTTTTAAACAGCTAAAGTGTTATCTTAGAAGTCAGTACAGTGGGTGGGAGGGGATGCAACATTAGCTGGTATCTGTTGGAAAATATAGAAAAATACATTATTTCTTTGCCAAATGGAATGTGGTAGTTTAGTTAGAGTTTTTTTTGTAGTAATAATAGAAGGTCGAAGGAATATTTTTTGGTGATATCTCTGCAGAGGAAAAGACATGAATACAAGTAGAGAAGGAATTTTATTCTTCCAGAAGGTCACTCTTGGTTCCTTCATTCTTAAGGTTGGACTTTAACTGCAGTTGTAGTGCCGTGTCATTTCTGCCTACGTGAAGATTTCAGCCATGGTTCTTTTAAAGGGAAAACCCCTGGCTTTCCACATACTTCAACCCGCACTGGCAAAATCTGCAGAACAAATTGTTTAGGTTTCTTTCATATCTGCATTGTGACCTTAAAGGGGCAGAGTTTTCAAGTGTTTTATTGAGAGTGCAATGGCTACTTCACTCCACAACCAGTTTTGAGACAAAAATAATGGGCAAGAAGTGGTGTTTTGAGTAGCAACTTTTTTTATTTCATTACCTGATTCTGGAAACTGTATATTTAATCCTACTTCATTCCAGATGATAGCGAATAGAACATTCTTCTGCAGAATAATTATTCTACATTATTCTGGAAGTTATTGTTAACCATGTAATAGAGAAGTTGCTGCTACCCAACCTTCTTTAAAAAATCTGAATAATTAAAAAAAATAGTTAAGCTACCTCAACACAAGCTGCAGTTAATGAAGTTGCTGTTTTCAAAGCTGAAAACACTTTGCTTTTCGTGCTGTTGTTATCATTGCCAAAACATGAGGGATTTAGATATGGAGGAACATGTTTTACCAACCAATATCAGGGCAATCAGTTTAATATCTGGTGTGTGTTACTTTTAGTATGCATGTATTATCTGATAGTGGATAGGATCAGTAAATACCAGTGCTTAAAGACTGCATATTTTCAAAAGACAATAGGAATTAATGTTTTAAACATCAGTCTCTCTAATTCAGGACTTGTAATATCAATGTAATGTGTTGGGCTGAATGACTAGTGATTTGAGGTTTAAAAGAGTGTGTATTGTGCCTAAAGCATGAGATGTATTTGGGGAGAACTGTAGTTATTGGAAATATATTTTCCTACAAGTTACGCCAGCAGGAGGTGTATGTATGTCAAAAACGGTGATACAGTATAGGTAATTTTAATTTCTGATTGGCTTGTTTGAAGGATGAAAGAGTGAGGCTTAGGAACCTGGAAGAATCTTTACCAGGGATCCCACAACTTTATTTGAAACCCAAAGCCTGGTTTCAAAAGAAAATGAGAGACTGGAGTTAAGGAAGCTGCAGTGGTATTAAATAAGAATAAAAAAATTAGTTTCAGACCAAAATTTAGTTGGAGGAATGGAGGGGCTTGGCGCCTAAACAGAGAAATGCCTTTTTCCAACTGCAAAAATAGTTCATCTACTGATAAAACCCGTAGAGAAACAGAATGTCAGAACTAAGAGGCAACTGTGCAGCAATAAGGTTGATTAATTAGGGGAATTTACATATCACCAACTTTTCTAGATGGGATTAGATCAAGTGTTGAGAAAAATCATATTGCAGGTAGTGTGACCTGTTATCATGCAGCATGTTCTTCTAGAATGTATTGGAATTGAGGCAAGAAATACAGAAAGAGCTACTAAATAATGTTGCTCTTAACAATCATATGGAATTCAGTGTGTTTTCCTGTATTTGAAAAGAAAAATGCAGTCATGGTCTTGTATCCAGAAGCTTGAATTATATCTTGCTGAAATAGGCTTTTTGTGCAAGGATGAGAAGAGCCAGGTAGGAGGCAATAAGTGTGTATTGTGCCCTCTCCGGTGTAGTGATTCCAAAGCAAGCTGTCACTACTGTCTTTACTTAGGATAAGCATCTCAGGACCTCTAAGAGAAAAAAAGGAAGAAGACAGTGCTACTGAATATACTTCTAACAGCTTATATGAGGTCTGGTGTCCCTTCTTACTGAGGTGGGGTCAAATGATGTACAGTAGGAGACTGATTTCACTGTCCCTTCTCTAAGCAGTAGGCTGCTGAAAAGCCTTGTGTGTTTTGGTAGATAAAAGTGTTACTGTAGAATTAAATGGAATTTGATAATTTAAAGTACAGCATATCAAGTTCCCTCTTCAACTGTCTTGTGATTTTCTTGTTCTTTTTTCTTGTTACAATTCCCATTTCTGAAGTTTGCTTAGCCATGACAAAGTGTTCTATAACATATTTGGAGTGTGGTTTCCTGTGACCTTTTCTTGCCTTAAAACACTCTTCTTAGTTAAAATATTTTTAATCTCTCAATAATTTGCCTTTATAGAGCCTTTGTAATTCAGCACTGTTGAAGTTTCGTTTTCTTCTGCTTCAAAAGCAAAAGTCTGTGGTCTTGATGCTTAATGTTGATGAATTAATCATCTGCTTCTCTGTATTATTCTATCTGAAGTATAAAGTGACAATAGTATTGGTTGCACCAAGTTTGGAACACTTTGTGACTGCAGTGGAGAGATACCAGTGGCAGAATTTGACAAGTGCAAACCAAATATTTACCTCTGAGGAAAAAAACCAATAAATATCCAGGATTTGCTTCCTGGGATATAGCTTGTTACAAATGAACTGAGGATGGGAAGAATTTCCTTTGACATTGTATGTGTGGGTGATGCTGAGATCTTCTAGCAACTACTGATGAGAAAGTTTTTAATGACATAGTAATACTTGTGTATTAGTTTTGACTGCCCCAAATCCATATCTTAAATCAAATGCTAGTAGTTTTTAATAGTTTCTTCTGACATTCAATCTTCTGATTTAAATTGACAGTCCTACCTGAAGAGATGTGTTATTGGACCTGATGGTCACAAATGCAAGAGAACTCAGCAGGGATGTCAAAAGTTGAAGGCAGCCTGGGCTGCAGTGACCACGCACTAGTGCAGTTCACTGTCTGAAAGTGTAAGAGGCAGATGAGAAGCATCCTCAGCACTCTACATTTTAGGAAAGCAAACTTCCAGCTCTTCAAGGAGTTAGTAAATAGGACTCCCTGGGAAATGGCCCTCAGGGACAAGGGAGCAGAACAGAGCTGGCAGATGTTTAAGGATACTTTCCATAGGGCATAAGAGGTCTCAATCCCCAGGTGTAGAAAATCAGGCAAGGAAGGCAAGAGACTAGCATGGCTGAGTCAAGACCTGCTGGTCAAACTAAAAGGCAAGATGTAACTACACAGACAGTGGAAGTGGGGACAGGTATCCTGGGAAGAGTATAGGGATGTTGCCCAGTTGTGTAGGGATGAGATCAGGAACTGACACGGCCCAGATTTAATAACCCAGGAAGGCTAGAACTGGACCCTCTTGCTTTCTAAACTCCTGCTGCAGTAGAGGAGCCCAGGTGTGGCTGGATCCAGTCCTGTACGTGTCACAACTTGGACTGGGTAGCCCAGGGAAGTTAGGACTGGATCCCTTGCTTTCCAGACTTCCTTCATAGAGGAGCCGAGGTGCAGCTAGGCCCAAAATCCTTCTCAGACCTGGTCTTTTCCCAGAGAGAGTAAATGTATGACAGTCCGAGTAAAAGCTCGACTGTCCGATACCCCTTGATCAGCTTAAGGTGCAGCGACACACAGGTCTGCTTATAACAACACATTTATTACACTAGTAGGAGTTAATATTGAATAACCTAAACAAAACCACCCACATATATATATTAAGTAAGGAAAAGGGATGAGAAGAAAAAGGTGAGAGGAAGGACGGGGAGACAAGAGAGAGAGATAAAGAGGACAGGAAAATCTCTGGTCCTGGATCCAGTGTCATTGGTCCAGCCAACGCTGGCCGATGTTGATGAACCTCCCAAAGCCCACCATTGCAGCCCCCTATTTTATAGGCCTAGAATCTTGATTTCACAAGGAGTAAGTGTGATTGAGCCATACATGTGTGAGCAGCTGGAGTGGACCTACACCCCCTCCACTGTTATCTCATCTCTACAGGCCCGAGGCTGTATGCAGGCCATCACTGCAGTCTCTGTCCTTCCAGGCAGGCCTTTTGGGATGCACATGAGCAGGGGCTACAATGGGGTTTCGGTACCATTTCCCAAAGGAGGTCTGGAGGGCTGGTCCCTCACAGAAAGGCCAAAGTACAGCTGGAGCTGAACTTGGCAAGGGATGTAAAGAAAAACAAGAAGATCTTCTACAGGTATGTAAACCAGAAAAGGAAAGTTAAAGAAAGTGACTCGCCTGATGAGCAGCAGTGGTGAACTGGTAACAACAGGACAAGGAACTTTTTGCCTCAGTCTTCACTGGCAAGCCCTCTCCTCACAGTTCTCAAGTTGATGGCCCACAGGATGGAGACCAGGGAGACAAAGTCCTTCCCACCATAAGCAAAGACAAGATTTGTGACCATCTGAGGACCCTGAACATACACAAGTCTATGGGACCTATGAAATGCATCCCAGAGTCCTAAAGGAATTGGTTGATGTCATTGCCAAGCAACTCTCCCTGACATTTGAAAAGTCATGGCACTCAGGTGAAGTCCCTGGTGACTGGAAGAAAGGAAACATTATGCCCATTTTTTAAAAAGGGGAGAAAGGAGGACCCTGGGAACTACTGACCTGTCAGCCTCACCTCTGTGCCTGAGAAGATCATGGAACAGATCCTCCTAGAAGACCTGCTAAGCCATGTGAAGGACAGGGAAGTGATTCAGGACAGGCAGCACAGCTTTACTAGGGTCAAATCCTGCCTGATCAACCTCGTGTATTTCTACAATGGAGTGACTGCATCAGAAGGCAAGGGAAGACCATCGGATGTCATCTACCTGGACTTCTGCAAGGCCTTTGACATGGTCCCCCACAACATCCTTCTCTCGAAGTTGAAGAGATTGAAGAGTTGAAGAGAGGTTTGATGTGTGGATTGTTCAGTGCATAAGGAACTGGCTGGATGGTTGCATCCGTAGGGTAGTGGTCAATGGCTCTGAGTCCAGGTGGAAAATGGTGACAAGTGGTGTCCCTCAGGTGTCTGCACTAGGACCAACATTGTTTAATATCTTCATTAACAATATTGATAGTGTCATTGAGAGCACCCTCAGCAAGTTTGCCAATGACACCAAGCTGGGTGGTGCAGTCAATATGCCAGAGGGACAGGATGCCATCCAGATGTACCTGAACAAGCTGGAAAAGTGGACCCAGGTGAACCTCATGAGGTTCAACAAGGCCAAGTGCAGAGTCCTGCACCTAGTCCTGGGCAAGCAGCAATATCAATACAGGCTGGGGGAAGATGTGCTAGAGAGCAGCCCTGTGGAAAAAGACCTGGGGGTACAAGTGGACCATAAACTGGACATGAGCCACCAATGTGCAGTTGCAGCCTAGAAGGCCAACTCCACCCTGGGCTGTATCAAGAGAAATGTGGCCAGCAGATCAAGAGAGGTGATTCTGCCCCTCTATTCTGCTCTGGTGAGACCTCACCTGGAGTACTGCATTCAGCTCTGGTGCCCCCAACACAAGACCTGTTGGAGTGTGTCCAGAGAAGGGCCACAAAAATTATCAGAGAACTGGAGCACCTCTTTTCTAAAGACAGGCTGAGGGAGTTGGGGTTGTTCAGGCCGGAGGAGACTCCAGAGGGACCTTATAGCAACTTTCTGGTACCTGAAATGGGCCTGTGAGAAGGCTGGGGAAGACCTATTCACAAGGGCATGTAATGACTGGACAAGGGGTAATGGTTTCAAGCTAGAAAAGGGTAGATTTATGTTGGATATTAGGAAAATGTTATTTAATATGAGGGTGGTGGATCACTGGAACGGGTTGCCTAGGGAGGTGGTGGGGTCCCCATCCCTGGAGGCATTCAAGGTCAGGCTTGGTGGGGCTCTGAGCAGTCTGTTCTACTGTGAGATGTCCCTGCTTATTGTATGAGGGTTGGACTAGATGAGCTTTAGAGCTCCCTTCCAACCCAAGACATTTTATGATTCTATGATGAGTACCATTTCCATTTAAGAAGATACACCTGTTTGGTGCTACTTTTTCTTACTTCAAAAGGAGGAAAACGGTGCATGTTTGGTAAGAATACTTTGTTGCAGGCATTTGTTTATATTCAGTATTTGTACAACTTTTCATGCATTTTCATTCTGATTTTGTGTAAAATAGAAAATGTTTGTCTTTTTGTGATTAAAAGGTTAGAAAAACTGAACAGGGAGTTGATGAGTGTAAGATTTTTCTGACAATTTTTACAATAGCTAGATGACTATAGTTAGGATAAGGCGGTTGATAAAATCTCCAGTAGCCTACAGCTTGCACCACAACTTGCTGTGGTTATTTCTATGTAAATTGTACCTGGAAAGGTCTGTGATGCTGACATTTTAGCATCAATCGTCAGTGGTGACTTGTGAGGAGGTAAGTCTCAGGCAAACTGTCTCCAGTAAATAAATTCTCTAAAGTAAAGTGACTCTGTCATGGACTCTCCTTCCCCACCAGTTTCCTTTGTGTCCTCTATAGAAAAGCTTCCTAAGATCTTTATTTGTAATTGTGAGCTGTATTTTCAATAGATCATAAAGGAGCTGCAGGTACAGTGATACTCAGTTTGTTGAGTGTAAGTACAGGGCATAAAACTTCCTCAAATGCCTTTTCAGGAGGTGGCTGTGCAGCCAGGCCTGGCATGAGCCACCAGCTGTGATTCCCTGGAACCACTGCTGTTGATGAGACTGTGGTAATGAAATTATTTTGTCTATTGTCTTTGGTAAGACTATAGAAGGATGTAAGTCATAAGGGTGATGATAAATTTCAAGCTCCACTGGGACAATTATATTTTATAGACAACTTGATTAGAAACTAATACAGAGGATGAATTAAAACTGTAATTATGACCTGCAGGCCAGTATATTAATGAAACATTGCAAATATGTATAAAGTTAGCTCTTACATGATTTGTGTCCTGAAATCCTAAAAGAATGTACAGTCTTTGGTGGAAGACCAAACGCTTGGGAAAAAGAGAAATCTTAATGTTTGTTTTAGCATGATTATTTAGCTTTGGGAGGGTTGAGATACACAATTCTCTTCATAGCACTGATAACATGAAGGACCAGTGAAGTGTAAGAACCCTTTATATGACCCCTGTTCCTAGACACGAATGTGTTCCAACTTCCCTGCACACACTGCTTCCTCAGAAGGAGGTTGGGAGTGGCTGTGGGTTCTGAAGCAATGGTCCCTAATGAACTCATCCTGCTGCTCCCGATGGCCAGAGCACAGCTGGGTGGGTGACCTCGGTATCGGTGGGCCTTGAGCCAGATCATCATCCCTCGCCCCAGGGATGTCACAGAAGTAACTCACAAACTGTGTCATCTGCTGTAGCTAATTTGGCAGAAGGACAATAATCTGCCCACATCTGATCTGTACTTACTTTGTAAAGCTCTGGCTTCCAGAACAATATATATGTCATACAGTCGTCGTCATAGCCAAGGAGTCATTTATCGTTAGAGACGCTCTGACCAGCCATGCTGTGAGGATGCAGCAGCTCAGTTTACAACAGTTCATCGACTGTTAATCCAATCACTCTGTCCTGCTAATCAAATCAGTCAGCTCCAGGAGCATGTGGTGGCAGGCTTATGTTCTCTCCCAGGCTAACACAAATGAAGTAATACGGAGCTGCAGTGAAGATGAACTCAAGGATTTATACAGTATCCTAGTGTAACTTTTAAGTCATGTTATTTGCACTTAGACCATACTATGACTTTAGTGTTCTGAGTGTGTGTTAAGCTCATTTTTAAAATTTTCCTGCTGGTTCTAACTTCAGTGAGCAATGCTCTGAACTGACATTAAGTCATACTGTTGGAAATTATGTGGTTTTTAATAAAATGTGTACATTGAAGATTTTAGTACACGTTTTGCAGACCTTCAGGTTTATTTCAACATCCTCATCAAATTTGATTTTGAATAGCTGTCTTCCCAAAACTGCTTTCTCCTTTTACTGTAAGTGAAACATGGCACTTTGTTCTCGTGTGTTGTATGCTACTGTATATGTTAGTTGCATTTTTAAATACAGAATTTATTTACAGTAAGGAGAATTTGAATAGTGTTTATAATTGATTTCTGCAATATTTTAATATATTCAGTTCATAGTAATTCATAAATATTGCTGATTGCTTATGGATGATCATTTAGGTTCCATTTGTAGACAGAACAATTTCCAGTTTAACCAAGGGTGACTGTTCACATGTAGTACATACATTTGTGCAAGACTCGCAATTATTCTAGATTCAGTCTCTGAACTGGTGAACATCTACAGTAGTAATTTGGCTCAACTCGAGAAAATCAGCAGAGTGAAGCAGTTGGTGCTGTGCCCCCCACCTCTACATATTCTGCTGTGCAGCACTTTTATTTTGGACTGGATTTAGTGGAGCCTCTCTGGATCAAATATCCATGCCACAATGTGTGTTGAAACTGTTCAGTGCTGTTATTTGCTTGGACCTGTGTGCCCTCTTAGGGGTGGAAGCGTGACAGATAGCACCATAGCATTGGTACATTTCCATTTCGTCTTTCTCCATAAAGAATCCACATCAAATATACAAAACCTGGTCTGTGAACAAAACCAGTAAGTGAGAATAATGCGAAGAGGAGAAGGATTTGCTTCTAAATTGCACTATTGCTCTGAACCGAAACACTAATGTAAACATAGCCTTCAGCTAACAGAACAAGGCCTTCTCCTATATTTTACAGACATCAGATAGAGTATGAAGTCAAATAGATTCTATTCTGTTAACTTTAATTTAATTTAGCCTGACATGGATGTGAGGACAGAGAGGAACATGATGGGAATGGAAAATGGATTTATGATAAACAGGGCAGCACTCATTGAATATTTACTTGCTTACTTATATTTATTTTACTCATTCCTTTTTTTATTTTTCCCTGATACCCCCATTCCGTGATAGCTGCACCTTTAAGCTCTTGAAATAAATTGAAGTATGTTAAATGAATGAAGTATGAATGAATGAATGAACGAAGTATGTTAAATGAAGTTAAAATGAAGTATGAACCTTGTATGTATAAAACATAAGGCATACTCTGTGTATTTATGTGGACAGTCTACAAATGTACCCAAATTAAAATGCTTTAGGCTAAGGACAGCCTTTTGAATTTCATGCTTACCTTTATTGACCTGAACTAAACATCTTTCATTGTGGATTAGGATTGCATGTCCTTTTTCTGAGTGCAGCAGAATGAAGCAGTTACTGTACCTGCCCTGCCCATAGTGTTTGTTGTCCTCTGCTGAGAGTTGCAGTCCTTTTAGATGTGTCAGAAAATACTGCATATGTGGCTCCTCTCCAAACCAGTTATATCAGGATGCCTGCATTAGCTCAGGTATTCTTAATATCTAAACCAGGTCACTTTGACAGAACCACATTAGGGACTAATTACACAAGCAGTCGTGCTGACAAGAGGAGGAGCTATTGTCTCTGAGCACAGGACAGGACTTTGGCCTGCAACCTTACCGAGTTCTTGTCTGTTATTAAAATAAGTGTAAATGTGGTATATTTTACTCATAAAAGCAATTAAAATCAAAGTATCTGCTTCCTCAGGGAGAGAAAGTAATCATGAAACCAGCATCACCACATTTATGGAAGGGAAATTTATCATTTTACAGACAGAAAATCTCCTATAATTATGGTGTGTGGGATTATAAATTGGATACTCCACTGTTGGATTTTACCTCTGAGCAGTGCATTATTTTTCTGTCAGTTTTTCTTGAGTTTTTAAGTGTCATTGATCTGTACCCCATCCGGAGAAAGGGATAACTTAGCATGCTAAAATATACTGGGAGATGTTACGTTTTACCAACCAGATAGCTTGCCTGATAACTTTCCCTTACACTTGTTATATCTTGGTTTGTTTGTTGTTTTTGGTTTTTTTTTGTTTTGATTCTTCTACAGCACTTGAAAATTAACCATTAGGAGCAAATTTGGCCAATACAGAACCTTTTAATTGCTAAAAATAAATATTAACCTATGCAGAGGGCCTTAGACACTGTCAAAATGGTAGCTGATACGAACTATTTGTCACCAGTATTTCTGGCTTGATTATGGCAAACAATGTTGTCTTGTACTTCCCCTGGTGCTTAGGGCCACTCTGGCAGTTTTTAACTCAGAGCTAACTCAGCAGAAGGTCAGAAAAGCAGTCGCTCAACTCCAAGGTAACAATAGTGGGAGGAGAAGCAATACTGCCTGTGTGGATGTTACCTAGCTGTTCTGACAGGTTAGATGCGTCATCAAACCACATTGTAACTGTTATGTCAGGAAGTAGGAATGTAGACTTTTTTACTCACCCAGATATGGTTTGGGTGTTTTGTTTTTGTTGTTTGTTTTTTTTAATTTTAATATTTGGTTGTAAGTCATAAGTATTTTCTAAGATATCACTTTGAGGTGTCTCGCATTCTGTTTCATGTTATGTCCCCACTGATACCAAAGTAGAAATGGATGACTTGGATAAGCTTTCTTTTTCAGTAGGAAAAGAGAATTACAAGTTTCCAGACTCTGTTTTTGCCATAAAAGAGTTTAAATAAGCCACTATTCTATACTCAAACCCTGTGTGCATTGTGGAAGCATTCCAGTTTCCTCTTCCCAAATCTAGATGAGAAATCCATATGTAGCTGTTTTTGTCAGCAAAAGTACTGAGGCAAAATATTGCTGAGCAGTTTTTCAAGTGGTTCCTAGTGGAGTTGAACAAATTTTTTAAAAATATTAAAATTTTAAAAACAATGTCAAAGTAGGTTTTGTTGCAGGCTTGGACAATAAAGCTAAATATAGTGGTTTCCTTTATGTGTTTGTGTTTGCTCTATAAATCATGAGGTTGGGAATGGATTTTTGGGTTTCCTGTTCTAGATTTCATCTGTTATCTCTGCAAGGTATCTGGTATTTTAGATGAGAGGGATGGCTTCTTACTTGAAAAGAGCATGTTCTTAATGGATGGCCTTTCAGTGTTTAAAGACATTAGTAGAACTTAGTGCCCAGTAATCAATGCTGTTATGAAATTTCTTGCTGGAAAATACCTTCCTAGTAATAGAGATCTTTCTCTGAGAATAATATTTTGAAGGCTCGGAGAGGGACAGAGGATAAGCAAGACGCTTGCAGTAACTTTTTTTGATAACATGACAAGTTTTATTAATTGGTTTCTTTTCTTTTATTTTTTTTTTTTAAATTTAATGGCTTAATACTGGAAGGTTTTTTACTCAGTCTCAAGTAAAAAAAATCTGAAGGTGTATTTCTCCATAATGACTTTCTTTTCTGGGGTGGCATTTTTGTTAAAGTGTTCTTAAATATAGTCTTATGGAAAAATAATTCTTGCATTTTTCTAGCTGTATGGTTTTTTAAGTCCAGTAACTTAACAAAAAAGTGAATAACCATAATAAAAATACTAGTAATGTTTTCTAACATTTAAATAATTTTTGTACTATATATATTGCATTTTTCTCTATAAAATGGATTGAATTGTTCAACTGAGTAACAAGGTAAAGGTGGAACTAGTCTGACAGGTTGCCTTTGTTTTTTACTTTGTTGTTGATTTGGGGTTGTTTTTTTTTGTTTTTTAAAGACTTTTGCAAACAGAGCTATGCAACATCCCAATGACAGGACAGCATAGTACAATACCTACAGGGTATGTAGTTATATTGCTGCTGAGATTATAATAGCAGCAATCATTTAACCTCACTGTAGAAAACCAGGCAGTACATTATGAGAACATGCCACATATAAAACTTAAGTGCACTCTTAGAAGAATCTGTTGTTAAGTCATATGATTTGTTAATGAGATACATACCTGTATTTTTCTTCCGTTCTTCCAAACTGCTTTCTGGATGTTCCACTCAGTTACATGCCAATCCAGTAAATGTTACTGGTCTTCAGAGATTCTTCTAGGTATATGTGATCTTAACTTACACGCATGGTCTTTGTTTATGACAGCTAAGCTCTAGAGCTAGTACTTAAGTCATGCTAATCCCACCCCATTCCTGCCCTTCAGGTTGTTGGTTTGTCTTTTTTGTTTTGGTTTGGTTTTGTTTGTTTGGTTTTGGTTTGGTTTTGTTTGTTTTGTTTTTTACTTTTTTGTGGTTTTTGTTTTGTTTTTTTTTTAATAATCAAAAGGAGCATAGATGGGGAAGAAAGCTGTATTGGTCCCATAACTGAAATGAATTGGGCCAGAGGATTTACCAGAAGGAACAGCCTGGGTAGGAAAAATGAAATAAAAAGGGGAAATCCTGAGACAAGTCTTACACTTGCATCTCTCTTGCTGGACTAGTATGACTGGCATGAACCTCTGTCCCTGCAGCTGCTGCTGTCTGCCCTGTCTGCTTTACCCTGCTGCCTGAATTCCTCTTGCCTGTGGGTCCCACATGCAGTTGCAGCGTGTGCATGCGTAATATTTGCGACATAAATACCATCTCTATTTGCAGATAAGTGAGGCATGGTAATTTGTTCAAGTATGTATAAAAGACTCTAGACAAAACAAGTTTTCTGTCTTCATATGAAGAACTGCCTGTTCAGAAAAAAACCTTCTGTATTTGCCCCAGTTTCTGAGCTGTACCATATTGTCCCTGGTAACTAAAGGATAGCTCACTGTAAGTAAGAGATTACAGCATATGCCTTATACTAAGCCAGCAAGTTATTGAAGAATTAAATTGATAAGTTTTGTATAGTGAACATACTGTGTATATACAGCATATTTAAACGTGATCTCTGTATTTAGAAAAGGAAATCCTATCCACATTGAAGTTGTTGTCAAAACTTTGCTGGGGCCAGTGCTGATTGTCAACTGCAATATATCGTATTCAGAAGTTTGTGCATGCAAAATACTTACTGAAGAACACTCTTGGTATTTTATAACATCTTTTATGGAATGGAAGTAACAATCTGAAGGTTAAAGAGAGGAATTTGCAGTCAGCAGTGGAAGACTGTAAGCTACAGAGCTACAATACTGAATTACAGAAGTACAGGAGTATTTTAAAACATATTTACACTTAAATTATTTGCTTGCAAGTTGCTCACTGGAGTTTTATATCTGCTGATGTCTAATACTTAGTTTTCCTTTTTAACAGGTAGAGAGAATTGTTGACAAGAGGAAAAACAAGAAGGGAAAAACAGAGTATTTGGTGCGATGGAAAGGATACGACAGTGAAGACGATACTTGGGAGCCAGAACAGCACCTTGTTAATTGTGAGGAATATATACATGAATTTAACAGACGACACAATGAAAAACAGAAAGAAAGCACATTAACCAGGACAAACAGGACCTCTCCAAATAACGCCAGAAAACAAATTTCTAGATCTACCAATAGTTCTTTTTCAAAGACATCCACTAAATCTTTAGTTATGGGTAAAGACCATGAGCCAAAAAATAATCAACTATTTTCTGCCACCCAGAAGTTCCGGAAAAACACTTCACCATCTCTTTCTGGAAGGAAAAATATGGATCTTGCAAAATCAGGTATTAAAATCCTAGTGCCCAAAAGTCCAATTAAGAGCCGGACAACAGTTGATGGCTTCCAGAATGAAAGCCCAGATAAAATGGATCATATAGAGCAGGATCAAGAAGACTCTGTAGCACCAGAAGTAGCAGCAGAGAAACCAGTGGGAGCTTTATTAGGACCTGGTGCAGAGCGTGCTAGGATGGGGAGCCGACCAAGGATACATCCATTAGTGCCACAGTTGCCAGTGCCAGTAACAGCCACAATTGCATCAGCATTAACAATAAATGGAAAAGGTATGTGTATGAGTCGGTCATATTTGTGTACGTTTTTCATTTGACTGATCTTTTTTGCCACTCAGATGCACAAGTTACCCACTTTGTTTCAGCCATGTTAAATCAAAGTCTGGAGAACTTCAACTTTATTTTACATAACTATATTGAATACAAAGCCATTTTGAATTTTGCCAACTTTTGCTTTCCTTGCAGAGATTCATTGGTATTTGTGTTTTCAGAATCACCGTAAGATTCATCCGTGTTTGCCTTGACATGTTGTGGTACACATATTCTGTGTACAACTTCTAGAGGTTACACAGTTGCTTTAAGTTTCTTTAAATAGGTCAAATTTGTTATGAGTATTAGAAACATAAATTATGGGAGCGGATGAATGATAACAGGGATTCTTCAGAACAGTATACGTATCTGTTATGTTGTAAATGTTGCCTGGAAAAAAACCTGTGAGAAAGATGTTGCTTTAAAAACAAAGGTGATAAGTTCTGTTTCACTGAAAATTTGAGCCAGTTGTGGAGATGCATATGCTTTCTGCTTGGTTTGAATTCTGTCTTCATTATATTTTATCAATATTTTGGTTTTTTATACCTCACTTGATATTGAGATCTAATTTAGGTTTGCTGCCTGGTTTGCTAATGTCTCAGTAGATGACAGTTTCTTCACCTTTTACTCTGAAAAGTGTGACACCAACGAAACCCAAACTGCTTTTGTGGGAGGAAGCTGTTCCCCCTACCCAGCTGAGACCTGCATTTAAAACTTCACAGTCCTCATTCTCATGCCCCAAACTTTTGTTCTTCCCTGACAGATGGAGGTTATTGTGCAGTCACAGTGTAAGCATGCTTTTGAGCCTAAATTTTCAGATCTAATACTGCATCCTCAAATAAAATGAAGCAGGTAAAATCTGCAGGTATGCTAATGATGGTGGCTTGCAGGAGAAAATATTTGAAAACTAAGGACTGGGCCTGGCAAAAACACACTTAAGACGCAAACTGTGTAGGCAGAAAAATGTGTTGAAGACTTTGGAAGAGTTTGTTGGATGCCCCACTGTTCTTTGTATTCAAATTTTCTGAGAAAAATGGCTATAGTGGGAGACGCTGCAAAGCAGTGGACAAGGGAGGAACATGCTTATGGAGCTGCAATGTAAGGTCATGGAATAACCTATTTTACTGCAGATGAACTAGGTAACCATGGTAATGCACACACAGATGCCAGGAATATCTCTTCCTTTGCATGGGCTAAAGAAGGAATGTAAATCTCAGAGGATGTAAACAAAGCTGGAGGGGAAAATGCAAGAAATGCCAGTATGTAAGTGTTCTGAGTGGGTGAGGTAGAGGAGTGTGCATGTGTGTGTGATGGTTTTGTGATAATTAATGTGTGTTTTGGAACATAGCCATGTTCCTAATGAAGTGGTTGCCTTTGGAGTCCCGTTTTTTCTTCATGGCTTTCAGGGGGAAAAAAAAAAATAGAACACAAAGGCCCTTGTTGGGTAGATGAGTAGCCACAAATGATTCTATGATTCTTATCAACCTTTCACTCTGTTAATAGTGGTATAGTGAGGGCCTGGCTATAAGGCATCAAGTGGAAGTGGAAAGACCTGCACAGGAATGGTAGTGACACTTAAATATTAGCTGAAGTGCACTTAGCTGTTTCACTGAGATGTTACCATTCCTTCATCTGCCACCACCTCCCTCCTTCAGCTCTTCATAAGCATTTGTCTAGGCAAGTAGCATTGGAAGCTGTCAACTGAGCCTAGGAATGATTGCAATATGAGACTTTCTTACACTTATCTTCTCGTGTGATCTTAAGGTGTATATTTTAAAAAAAAGAGAAAGCTAAGAAGATAGTAAAAATATGTGGTAGCCCAAAACTACACAATGTGCTCCACCTGTCTACTGCTGGAGGAATATTAGTTAAAGTACTTGAACTGAGGCTTTCCTCCTCTGTCCTGATACACCACTGCCTATCCCTAAGATGAACTGTGCAGTTTCCTGGGAAACAGGTTCTAAATATCCAAATGTATTATGGCTTTGCAGGCAGTTACACTAATTTACAGCATTTTTTGGGGTAACATCCAAATCATGAAATAATTCTCTGATGGTAAAACTTGGAAAGAGAGCTGAAAAATGGAAGTATTTTAGGTTTATATCTGACATCAGTCTCTTTTCCTAGATTCCTAGGATTCCTTGAACAGATACCTTTCTAATTCTGTATGGCCAAAGTGGACCTTTTATTTAGTGGGAAGCCAAGGGAGACAGTCCTGTCTCCTAGAGCTGGGATGGCTGTGGAGTCTTTTCATTAAAGCTGTGCTCTTGCTGTTTTTTATTTTTATCTTCACACTGTTATTCATTAAAATGTAGTAAAATGACGCTCGTTTCCCTCCCTCCCATGCATGGGGTTGTCATGTTCCTGAGTCTTGTTTCATTCCTCACAAAGGACATTCCTTCTGTCTGAAATGGACACCTCATCACAGTTTCAACACCACCTCAGGAATCACATGTCATGAGAGGTATTCATTGTACAGAAATGCCATCAAATTTGTACTCTCATCGCTGGCTCTTCATATGGACCAGACGTGACACATTAATAATACAGATGATAGATCTGGCATTTGGAGCACTCTCCAAACTTCCCACCTCCTCCGCATACACCTTCTGTTAATTTTTAGAGTTCCTGCTTCTGCATGGAGGATTCTGTCAGAAAGACAAAAGCACTTTAAAAAAAATAACTTTTTACTTGAGCTGGTTTAGAAATTTTTATCTAAAGCTTTTGTTGGAAAAAAACTCAGTCAAAACAGAATTAACTAATTGAAAAGTATAATTTTGAAAGATTAATAAAAACTGATATAAAATTTTATTTTTTTAGGCATATTGGAGGAATACTTTTGAAATGTAATACGTAGACATTGTTCCTAATTTTGAGATTATTGCTATGACTACTTTTGAATTGAGTGGCTCATGTTGGTTTTATAGTCCTAGCTCAAGATGGTAAAATTCTGCAGCATCTACTCTGTTCATTGTTTGTTTTCCACAGCATTGATTTTGTTTTTCTGAATTTAATTTTTATGATAAGAGTACACACAAGGAAAAAAAACCAAAACTTTTATGCATAAGAAAATCCCTTGACTACAATTACTATGAAATTTTGGTATTTGCGTAGGACATAGTTGTGCTTTTCATGACACAAACTACTGTGGTGAAGTTCTTGCATCTTACAGTCTCAGAAAAGACAACCAGCAAATATTTATTTATATTTATACAGGGCAATACAGTAACGATAATGTTTGCTCTGGGACTTGGTGGTTTCAGCTTACTAAAATCTAGCTGCTGTTCAAAGTGTATTTTTAACAAAAAACCCCAGTGTTACTGAATGTTCATATTTTAAAAGCTTGGCCATGAAAACAGAGTTGATGAATGTACCACAAACAAGTCTAGAAAGGGTGATATATGGAAGTAAGTGGGAATGGGTCACTAAATTAACACTGCTGTGGTTCTGTTGTTTTTTTTTTTAAAGTTTGTGGTGGTCATCAGCTGTTATTACAAGTTAATAGAGATGATCCTTAAATGGATGAGTGAAACAGAAAAACACCGCCAAAGAATGGCAATGTTGTGGGAATTATCTCAATGGCACCTCTAAGCAACGTAGGCAAGACAAAAAGTGGCCTCATGTCTAACAGTAGGTCCTGATACCTTTAAAGTTTTTGAAAGCTTCTGTCATCAAAGTTGAATTTTAAAATACCTTTGAAATTTTATTGCAGATGTTTTAGGCGTAGTACACTCTATTAATATCCAGGGAAGTTCTGTTTAATAGAGTTACATGGGAAGTAAAACTGTAAAGGGAAACTAATCTGTCAGTCACATAGTGCTGGAGAGTTTTCTTGCAATTTTAGAAAGGACGAAAATACTGGATTCATTGTTTACCTTGTGTGGAACTTTACCATAAACCAGGTGAATATGATTGCTTGGAAAAATCTAGTTGTTTTGCTGTATGTTTTTTCTGGGTCATCCTATAGTTGCTCCAGTTATTATGCAGCTAACATTGTTCAACATGTGGATGTAATTGAGAATAAATGCTACAAGAAGAGAAATTTTGAGCAGAAAGGTGTGCAGAGCTTGAAGTGTAAAATGAGCAAGAAAAGCACATCTAGCTGCATATGTTGTTATAATTAGAATAAGACAGTCTTGTGGATGGAAGGAAATGCAGTGAATTACATCACTTGTTAGACAGACAAGCACCACCAGTGTGCACAGTGGCATTCACATCTCCCTCCTTGCACATATTAGTTCAGATGAGTGACTTGCAGGAGCAGTAGACTGGCACATAATACAAAGATGAGTACAGTAAATCACCCTACAAGGACCGAGGGTGTCTGCTGATATTTCAGTTAGATAATAATGCTGGTTTTATCTCAAAACAATGGTATTAGCACGAAAAGAAAAACCAGGCATCAGGAAAAAAAAATATTGAACATAAATTCTGTTACTTGTTTTCTCCCTTATCCAATGCAGTTTATGGGATTGAAAACCTAAAATTTGGAAAACTAAAAATCTAAAAGGAAAATAGTATCCTGGTGTTTGATTCAAGTGTCTGATAGCTTTAGTCTCCACAGGAGCCAAACATGAGTAGAAATTCTTGTGGAGGCAGCTGGAACTGAGGAGAATCGTATGTTCTTAATACAATATCAAGCCAAGCTGAAAGGAGTTCTGCTGCTTCCTCTCTTTTTTTTGAGTCAGGGGAGCTCATCTGATTCCCTCCCAAATTCTCCCAGTTGCTTTCTTCCCTCTCCCTGTATGTGCCTGGGTGTTGGGCATTACTTGAGGTTTACAGTGCATTGTCACAGGCACAACTCATAAGGCCACCCTCAGGAATCTCTTGTCAAACGTGTGAACGACATTAATTGTCCAGGTGGACCACAAGCTATGCACATAACACTCTCAAAAACTCCAAGTGAGAGCAGAGTTGCAGAATCTCATTGCTGTGTGAATTAAAGAAAAATTGGGGCGATGTGT